TTCTTCACTTGAGGGTTAAAAGGTTTCAAAGTTTGATCTTATTATAACCTCAGATTTTATGCAGCATTAATGCTGCTGTAATGATGAAAACTGAGGATTATTGGATTATGCATGAATGCATGTTGAGTTCAACTTTGTTCAACAGGCAAATGCATATCTTGTTGCTGACCAGTTGCGAGTTGACAAAGACGTCAAATAGAGGACGATTCAGCTTCTCTCTCAGACTGCTCCATTAAAGAGCAGCATTAAATTTACTTTTTAAGGCTTTTCCCGTTTGAATTATTAACTTAGTGGAGTCACAAACAAATAACGTGCTCAGACTCATGGCAAAGACACTCCTTCACATTACGGGTTTTGGTGAGAATCTGCTCAGATCAAACCAGAGGTGGTTGACTGATCAATAGTGGAAACATTATTTTAACAAGAGAGCGATCTCTTGATTAGCAGGTTTTTTATTTCGTTCTGTAGCATTGCCCACTAAAGAGAGGGCTGGAGAATACCTTTCCTTCTACTGCAACATGTGCTGCTCATGCAGCCATTGCAGTGATGTGTTGTGACAGGTATATTGATTGCATTTGTAGCCAAGGTGTGATTATCTTGTTTTTTTTTATGGTGAGATTTGAAGTGCAGAGGTTGTGTACATACAAAGTTATTCCCACACAGCCTTATATTTCATTTACCTTCTCCAGATGACTTTCATGGAATACTAAAATACATCTGACATTTCCTGCTACTGAAATGTACACAGTGTCAAATAATAAGTATTCTTCACGTACTGCTGTCTTTTGCTGATATTTGCTTTATCAGTTCTCATAGTTTTTAAACCATTCCTTTCCTGAAATGCACATAAATGTGTTTTCAGCCTCAGTTGTGTATTCTTGTTGTGAAAGCCTATCTTCCCTGGCCTTGGCGCTATAAGAAAGCGCTGCAAGGAAAGAAGCTTTGCATACATTGTGAGTGCTTATCTTGGCATGCGTTTGTGTTCATTATAGCAATAAAAACCAGTGAGCACATAGTCACGCTCAGGAAACGCTCTCCGGCATTGTATCTTTCATGTAATTGGCATGAATGCATCTGTGCAACGTTTCACTGCACACGTACATGAATTAAAGCCACTGTAACAACTCAGTATAAAAACTCAGATAGGCGTCAGCAGTGTTCAGCCAGCTACAGAATTAGGCCTGGAGATTCATTTATTAAAAGTGTATTCCACCCATTTTCATTTGATTTAAATCTATTTAAATTAACAAATGATAACTCAAATTGGTTCTCTAGAAGCTCTGGATGTCATTTGAATCACAACATTCTGGCTACTTAACTCCTCTGTCTCTGATTTCCAGCTGGAAGTCAGGGACAACATTGTTTCTTTTCATACATAAATATACTAAAAGAGAAATAATCTGAAATAATTCATGTTTCAGATTTCTACCTACAGTGACCTTCTGTGTTGCTCAGAGAGGTGTTGTTTTTGCAATTCTGCGTTTTTGTGACCACCCATCTCTATCCCTCTCATACATTTTATTTGTCCTCTGTCACTGTTTACTTGATTGTAAGTGTGAATTTGTTCTTATGCGTGAGAGTGGTTGGGAATGGGTTCATGTGTCGTCGAGTGTCATTGCAAGTGCACAGAAATGTGTGAGAAAAAAGTAACTCCAAAAGCTGTGAGTCAGAAAGGATTGTTTTAGTTTTGAGTGGGTGATGCTGTCTCTGTTCGCTGGTCGCCACTCTTCTGTACTTTAACCCACACACACACACTGTCTCACATAAAATCCCATTACTTTAATGCCTCACAGGGAAATTTCATCACAATGCACAGTTTCACATTGGGATAGTTTATGGCACTAAATGCAGTAAAAAAACACAAAAAAAATTCCTGAAGGGATTTCTGTTGTATTGATGCTTTTACATTTTTGTTTTATCGCTACAGTCGAAAGAAATAAATCCATAAGGACAAGATGAAAATATGTTTTATTAGGTGAAAGGGATCTATTGGCAGAAATTTAATGTAGAATAATCCTCATGATGTTTTCACTAGTTTTCATCTAAATTGCATGAATTGCAGTTTTCTTTACCCCAGAAAAGGCCCTTTATATTTAAATACTTTATATTTACATTGAGGTCCTCTCTATGGAGGCTGCCATGTTTTTTACATTAGGTCAGACTGGACAAACAAAACACCTTTTGAGTTTTTAGGACAACTGAACCACAGGTTCTCTTTCATGTTTGGAAGGAGAGGGTGAGGTGAGGGGTGTTCAGCTGCAACATGAAATTTCAACACTAGATATCACAAAATTCTACACACTGTACCTTTAAGATAGAGAGGACCTACAATAATAATGATAGTAGCATAAAAAGTCCTGGGACATCAGTGCCATTTAAGTGGGTATTGTTGTTGTGTAGTGCTGAGGACTGAGGTGGGCCTGGACTCTCATGGGCAACAAAGTGACTGTAGGCCAAATATGGTCAAATCTTTTTGGTGGTTTTGACAGGCCGCAGGCAGGCTTGGGAGGGGGGTGTATGTCAAAAGCTGTGATTTACAAAGATATTCACAACCTTTGCTATGGCAGTCTCCAAATTATCGTGAGGTGCAATCCTAGAAATAATGAGTGAAACTGCTCAAACTGAGGTGTTCAGTGCTCAGTCAAGAGTCTGACTTGAAATAAGCCAATAAGACTTGAAACTGCAATTGGAAAAAATGGCAATTGTATCAGTCTACAATTAAATCTGCAGCACAAATACTCTATTTGTGTGTGTAATAAAGAATAATTCAACAGAATGCCTGAAAGCATTTACTTGAAATTGCCAACCAGCAAACCAGCTGAAAGTTTTTAGTAGCAGAGTGCAGTGAAATAAAGCTATTATATTATTCAAAACTCTATTATAGTCTGTCAGTGCTGTTCATAATTTAATTTTTCAAACTATTCCTTTAAGTAAATGGAGGAGGATAATGAAAGTGGTAAGCTACAGTGACAAAGATCATTGTGAGGCTTCCTTTGTTCTTCCCTGCACTGGGCTCTACAGCCTATAGCTATTGCCAGACCCAATATGGAGTCTCCTTGTGTATGTTACCGTGGTTCCTCAAAGAGTCCCACGACTGAGAGCAGATTCATGGATTGTATGCTGAGATACATTTTGAAATCCTCTTTTGTTTTGTGCTGTTGCTTTGTGGGGAATGTAGAAATTCAACAATTCCCATTAAGGTTATGGCAGAGGGATCTAGTTACTCCACATACAATCTGAGACACTGGAAAAGCTTTCACATTATTAAGTGGATATAGAGTTTTATACAGTGATGATTATAGTTGCTCTTTCTGTCTTCGGTCAGCCACTATTGCTTTATTTTAGCAGTGATTCACATTTCTAACTTAAGGTTGTGTACATATATGAACATCATGGAACAGTGTTCTCGGCTTCAGCTGTATTCATTTTATTGTCTGCATTCAGTTTGAGTGTTTCATTGACTTCAACTGAGCTCCCTTGTGACAACAGTGTATTATCAAATTTGTATTAGATTGTGTTTTGATGGAGATTTATATGATTGCTAGCATTTGAACATTAATTCTTTTTCATTTGCTTTTTCTAGGACGTTGTCTGGGGATTGAACTCCTTGTTTACTGTAAGTTCAGCTTTTCTGCCTCATTAACATGACTATGTTGTTGAAAACTCATTCAAACGCTGCTTAATGGACAGCACATACAGTTAGTAGCTTGTGCAAAATTGAGGAAAATGTAAAACTTAATGTTTCAAATTTTGATGATTGAATTACCCTTGAAGTTATAATCTTCACATGAATCTGGAAAAGTTTTTGGTTTCAGACGGTTGATGAGAAAAAACAAGAACTTAAAAATGTCACCTTCGGCTTTAAGATATCATTTTTCACTATTGTATTGACATCATTGTATATAAAATCAAGCTAATAAATTGGCTAATCAATGATTGAAACAACAGTTAGTTGCAGCCTTTGAAAAATGTTGTTTATATGCAGACTTTTCCAGTTTGTAGTTTAAATTTGGAAACTCCACAGAGATAAGTTTCTTCAGTTCCTACCTGATTATCGAACCGACTGAAGTTGCTCTGAAGTTGCTCACAATGATATTAGGCCCAACACAAATTAGGTTAACAGGGGCCATTTTGAATCTGCAGAGGAAAACCATAATTTCTGTCTTTGGACAAGTTGTTTTTTTTTTTTTCATTATTTAGAACACTTTGTGGTGCAGAGCAGAGTTTGACTGAACTTAATAAAGAATTTAAATGTGATTTAGGCTTATGTCTGGAAAAAATCAACCATTGAGATGCTTATTTAAATTAAATAAGCCTTACTTTAAGTATCTAATGAATGTAAGTGTATGTTACACTTTTTAAACATTTTGTTTTTTAATGTCAAAGCAAGCAGCAATTAAGCAGCTCTAAGCAATCAGATTAGAAATCCAAAATGTCATTATTTCCCTCAATGCAAACTAATTTCTCATCAACTAAATTGCAAGTATCTATACTTACCCTGAGGTCAGCACTGTTTCCATGATGATAATGGTGATGGTAATCTGCATTGACGCATGGTTATGCCCTAAATCTTTTCTCCTAATCAGGAAATAACCTCTCAGGCCATCTTCCCTGTTATCTCTATTAACACTCTGCTTGTTGTGCACATCTCTAAGGCAACAGCTTAATTATGCTGTTTTATTTGTTGCAGCTCAAAATCCATGGTGACATTGCAGCTAGTAAATATTGCTGATGGGCAAGCTTTTATCAGTTATTGGGGAAAAATGAGCACAATTGATGGAGGTATTGAACCTTGAAAAGTTCTGCAGTAAAATGACTAAACTTTTGAGACATTCTGGCCTTTTCTCTCTGTACATGTTTCTCTTCACATCCTCTCCCTCCTTGCCTCTGCTGCAGGACCTGTTGAACTTTGATGACCCGTTGAACATTGATGCAGCAGAACATCATCTGAGGGACAAGGTGAGACTCAAACCTCATCTTTAATTCTGTTTCATCATCAGACAAAAAGTAGATTCAGTACAAACAGTGACAAGTCATTTACATCCAGATTATTCACTGGTAAATTCTCCCCAAAGTATCTCCAACTTTCTTACGGTGCCCATAATCGTACTCATACCCTTCCTGCTGCTGATATCCGGCAGATATCCGAGTGCTGCAGCAGCTTTCACTGACGCTGTGTGTGCACTACTTGCCTTTGTAGAGGAAATCATGTGATAATCTCTCGAGAGAGCTTTAATCAGTCCGAAAACAAAAACCACATAGCAGCCTTTTTCCGAACAGAGAATGGCAATGATGTTGCATTCAAGAGCTGTGTGCACAGAACAGGTGTTATTAGAAAAGCCACTGAATTCATGTGCAACTATTTAATTCAGTGGCTCTGCAGCAGACAGCAGGCTTTGCAATTTGTAAGTCAAATCAGAACTAAACTAAACTGGGTCTCTCTAGTTCTCACAACCCTTGCACTCTTTCCTTAGTGGGTTATTTTGAATGGATGTATACACACCTGTAAGCCAGCTGTTTGTATGAACTTTAACATTGATTATATATAATTCTGGGATTCTCTGAAGCTGACCAGGGTCTTGTCAACCGATATTTCTGGCATGCAGGATAGTGTTGAGTTTGTGAGAAAGTGTTTGAATAGAAGACTTCCTCTTAGTAAATCAAATATTCAAAATGTTTCTAAAACATAGGCACCCTGGCTTATTGGTTTGGAATTTATTCCCACTATCTCACCTCATGTGACTTCTCATTACCAATTAATTTCCATCTCGTGCCTCAGCTCTCTTTCATTCAATTATGTATTAGTACACCAGACTGTGTCATAGTGTTCAGAAACTGATGTTCTTTGGTTTGCTTACAATTATTTTCTTTCTTGGATTTCTAAACAAACTAATGTAACTCTGCAGGGAGTCTGCTAACCAGGGGGAATAGCTGTGCCTGAGTTGAGTTGAGCTGAAAGCATTTTAAAGTACAATATTTGTCCTTTGGCCCTTTGCACAGACACTTTCCCATGATGCACTGGGGTACAGCCAGTAGTGCGTAATAATGGCTGCCATGTGACCCTTAGTAGATGCAAAATTGTTTCTGTGTTATTTTGAGAGGGGAAAATAGACAGAGGGAGTTTGCAAAAAATGATTTCCAGTATTAGGCAGAGTTATACTTGTTTGAATGCGTCACTTGTCACAGATGTAGGAGTAGATTGTCAATGGGCCTTTTATAAAACAAATATAAAAGATTTCACATTTTTGAGTCGGAAACTTTGACTCTCAGAAATCTGAGGGCATAAGGAGAGTGTTTATTGAACAGTTAATTATCTCAGGAATGTGAGTGAGAGATGGAGATCGAAAGAGAGAAAGAGCGAGTGGAGACAGCAGGGACTGAAGGAATGAATGCCTGCAGCTTTGACAAAAGATTTTACCACTTTAAGAAAAATATCAGTCAATATGTAGTGACCAGTGTTGAAGCATAAAAAAGTTGGAGTAGTTGGTCTTTTATATGTGGCCCAGGATGCATTTGCATTCACACAGGGAAATAATGTGTCTACATGTGTCCCAGACCACCTCCCAATGTGGTCTGAATGAACAGATCACAGGATGCATTCAGAACGCATGTTGGTCCAATCAGACCTAAACTCAGCACTGACCACTTGTGATGGAATCACTTAGGACGGATGTTCAAAACCAGAATGGGATCTGAGAGTTAAAAGCTGCCATTTAGACTGCGGCAGAGCTGTCCGTCATTATGAGGGGTGAATAGGTAACTGCAAGTGAGGAAGGTCACAAGATATATAAAATGAGGCATGAACCTAAGGTAGATTTTTTTAAAGAAGGCAGGTGTGCACAGGAAAACTAGAAAAAGACAAAATGACCTTGTCAACCACGGAGAGGTCTTGTGGAAGAGAAAACAATAATTTGCATGACGAGGAAAACCCTCTTATGAAGAATGCTTGACATTTCATTTGTCAGGCTGTTGAAGCAGGTGTTAAAGTGAAGGATTAATCTCAAGAATAAACTCCTCACTTGTGGAGAGACAAACAGTTTTGAGTTAGCAAAGTCCACATTCATAAATAAAATATGAGTATTTTTCACTTTTGGCAACATAAAAATACATTTTCTGGAAGTCGTGGTGCTGCTTCACTCTGCTGTCGTGGTTCTCTGGAGTCACAGCAACTGAAAACACAAAGTCATCCAACCATGACCCGCTCCCACTGAGTCACTGAGTCAGGCTGCTGTAATCAACGTCGGCTGTAAGTGGGTGGATCCGTGGGAGTTTGTGTGTCAGCATGCGTCCATGTTTATGTATGTGGATGCGTGTATTTGTGTGTGTTGAGGCTATTGGAGTGGAACTCCTTTTGTGGCTGCTCGCTGAATACATTTACCGGATAAAGTGGCTGAAAGGAAACACTCTCATGAGCTATTTAGGGAGTGTTTGTGGTATGTGGATAGTTAGTTGGTTACTGAGGTGTTACACTATTGTTAGTTGTTACACTATTGTTAGTTTGTTACTGAGGTGTTACACTATTGTTAGTTGTGAGTGGATTCTTTGTGTACTTGCACAGATACTAATATGGAATGGGCTAATCAGCTTGAAGGAACATGAGCTGTATTTAAATTAATATTTGTATAACAATTTAAATGCCACAGATTATTTACTTCTGCCATCATATTCACTTCATGGTGAATTTAAGTAACAGACGACAAAGTGGCGGACACTGAACACTGTGATGTTGAAATCAGAGAATACCCTCTGATATTATTGTCTTACACCCTCTTTGTCTGTTCTATTTCCACAGCACAGTTTTGTTTGAAGTGTCATGAGACTGCTGATCAATACTGAGAATTGAATTCCTCAAGAGACACAGTTTAATCATGATCAGTCTTGCCATAGCATTAGAAGTAGTGTGATGCCCATTCTAAACCTTCGGTTTGCAATGGGCTCTTCACTTGCCCTGTGGTGATGCTGATTGCAGCTTTTCTTCTGAAACTGTAAAAGAGACCTGCAGTAATTGAGCTGTGGCAAGTCAAGACCGGCTGCTGGACTCAGTCCAGAGACCCCGGAAGCTGCTGCTGCCTAAAGAGCTATTGATATGGAATTGGGACAAAGATATAATTAGTTATATTAATTAATTATTAATTAATAATACTACATGTTATTGTCACGTGTAAGGCTGCATAACTCTGTAAGGGTGGTATGAGCTGAAGGCTTGGTGGAGTGCAGGATATATCATGGACAAATGTTTAGCTGTTAGTTGCCATGCTGTTAAGCACTGTGCCAGATGGTTTCATGTTTGAAATGAAGACACAAGGTTTGTGTTTGTGCAAAAGAAAAACATAGTTATCTTTGGACATTGTTATGAATTACATATATGTAGGGGGAAATAAAGGGAGGTCCCATGCAACCTCACCAATTACAATGGCCTCGAACAAATAATATATATAATAATATTTATATATCTTATATCTGCACTTCTCTGACCAAGTGTCGGGTCCAGGTGTCAGAAAAGAGTAAAATGTGTTTCAAAAATCAAAAAAATGTTACATATCCTATAAAGAATCATAATGTAGTGCAGGACAGTTTTTATAGGCAGCAGAGACTGGTGAGCAGGGAGAACCAAAGTGCATCTTACCTTTTAACACAACACCAGACAGCATTAACACATGTGCCATTATTTAAATGTCATATCCATAAAATGGCAGATGTGTGCGGAACAGATCATACACACATAAACACACACCTCAGTGTTTGAACAGAAAATCAAATGTCTGTACTGCCTGTGCATGTGGGACATTTTGTAAATGATTTTTTGCAATGTTCGATAATGTGATATTGACCACCTGTCCCTCTTTGATAGACAAAACAGCGGTGGAATGGAACCTCGGATGGTTTGTCCATGTCCATGATTCCACTCTGCATGCTCAATTTTCTACATCACTGATTGCTGATTAATTTGAGAGTCCACATTTCTATCTATTACATACTCAATCTCTTGTTTCCCTGGGTAGCATTTTAGCCTGTTCAGTCAATAGTCAATCATGTACACACACACACACACACACACACACACACACACACACACACACACACACACAGTATCAGCTTTCTGCCAATGATCAGCAGTTGCTGTGGTCCTGATGGGATTCTTTAGAGCACCAAAGGTAGAAAAGGCCTCAAGGTTGTGCATCAGTCACAGAAGGTCTGCAATCAGAAGCCCGACAGATCAGGTATCCTTTCTTTTGCAGTCAGAATTAATTCTTTATTGAGCCTGGTTGGATTTGAGCAGATGTTTTTGGCGAGCTGTAATTAAATGTCCAGTTGTAGCTATGAGCTCATTATGACCTGTACATTCTGCTTCATTACTAGTCAGAGGGAGGAAGGTGATAGTAATGAAAATTAAGTGTGAATGAAGGTGCAGGGAATGTTTGAGTCCTTCATTCTGGGCATTTCCCTCTCTTGTTTTTATAGATTGGTCTTTTTCTTAACTTGCTGTCACCAGATAAAGCGGCCACACCAAAACAATCATTTGATGAGGTGGTGGACAATCCAAATCCACATTAATTACCTTGAAAGACTGGGGCTATTGTATTATTAATGCACATTTTGACAGAGAGCAATGCATATTGAGGAGAAAGTGAGGCATGTATTTAACTCTGTGTCACATCAACCTCTTCACATCTGTTCTCCAGCTCGCTGCTTTATTTTAGAAACTATGGATCAGCCACACTACTACTTTTCCACATTTACACTTGGTGTCCACTCTACTCCAGAGGTGTTGAGACCCTAAAACTGAAATTTAAGAACACTTCTGGTCTTCCTAGCACTTCCTGTTGGTAACATTTCCACCTTGTAATCGGTCCAAGAAAATAAATCCCTGCACTTACTTTTCACCATTGCAGTTCAGATAATAGTTTTAGGTTCACAGGTTATGACTACATACATATGTATAGTCTTCAGAATTGTGTAATACGTTTTTCAGCAGCGCTGTTGTTGTGTGGATGTCCTGGAGCACACAACGCTGGACCTGTATTTACACTTGTCAGTGGAGAGATAAGTGACAGCAGAATTGTTACTGGCAGGGTTATTTGTAATTACCTTGTCGTGTGTGTTAATTTAGTAAAAGCTTCTGACACTTGAAGGGCTCCACTCATTAAATCTGAACTTATGAACATTAAACATGTGATGATTAAATTGTGATAGTATAATGAAAAAGATGTTTGTTTTGACTGTAAACATCAGTAATTTCATTCAATTTCAATTTAATTATCTTTTAATTTGACACAAGACTGAGTTATTAATGGGACATCTTCAGGTGTTACAGCAGTCTATGGAATAAGCTGTACCACAATTTTAATATGCAGCCTTAGAGGATGTAGCAACCTTTGGCTTGTAACATTCACATCGCATCGCACAGACTCTCACTTACAAATATGCAAGAGCTTTCCTATCTGGGATGTGCCTTAACTTCTGGATAGTAAACCACTTTTTTGGATCACACCTAGATGTTCTAGTACATTTCTCCTCTACAGAACTCTGAAAAGATTATTTTGTCAGCCCAAGTGTGAAAACACCTTCCACTGTTGAGTGCTCTCCTGGCCTCCACACCCCCTGTCATCTCTTTCTTCTCTCTTCCTGTTCACACCTCTCCTTTCCCTTTTAATTTCCCCTTGGCTGTACAGAATACATCCTGAGGCTTTCCATTGCAGTTTTCAACATTGAGCAGAACTGTTGGTACCCGCAGGGTTTAATCTGCATCCCCTTCCCCCGATGGTGACACATATTTTGACTACTTGTACAGATTGAGAGGAGAGTTAATTGCCTTCTGTGGGTGAAACAGTGCCAACAAAGTCTTCTCTTACAGTTAAAATGTTTAATTGACTGCAGTTTACTTGGGTTCTTCAAACTAATGAAAGTAATTTGCATCGAGCCAGTTTTCTGCTTTAAGACAGAAAAGGAATGATAAAAAAAAAAGGTAAATTCATGTCCATTTTTTTTGAACATTTATGTGTGAGGACATCAACAGAATGATCTAACCCTTCAGATGTATTCGTCACACTTTACATTTCTATATCCAATTTATTTCACCCTTTATCCTACTCTGCAATTCATATCTGTGTTGGACATCTTAATTGGGGCTATATCGAATAGCTTTTAAACAAATGCTGTGTTCAATGTCGGTGTGTTTGCTCTGACTTAGAGGTTTATGTGAAGTGGATTAATTGGGCCTAACTGGAGCTACACAAGACGTCCTGCAGTGTTTATTTAACTCTGCATCTTCTGTGGTCTCAGTCAGCCCTGCAAAACGTATTGAATTTTCTCAACTAAATTGTATATTGTGGTGTTTTATAAGTCTGAGTGTATTTTTTTGTTTGTTGTGGCTTTTGAAAAAGACAGATGGTTAGACAAAAGATGGCAGAAAGACAGGCAGGTGCAAAAAGTGACAGATGGACTAAAATCTTATATTTACAAGTGGTGTACATTTTCCTGAGTAACAACTTCAGTCAGACAAATATTTTTTGTATATTGAATAAATGTGGTCTCATAAGGGGACTGTTGGGCCTTTGTGGAGGTGGTATTCGCCAAGAAATTCAGCTTTGGATAACTGGTGATGCATACTTACTGTAAGTCAGTATAGGTCTTGCATTTACAAAATGGAAATGTTACACCATAGATTCAAAGTATTGCATGTGATCGCAAGCTAGCTCAACAGAGTTGATCAAAACACATAATGTTGGCAATGCCGTTGCGAAAATGTCAGCATGTTGTGAGCATTTAGCTCAACGCTATTTCCAATTACAGCCCCAAATAGCTGCTAGCATGGCTGTAGACTCATCAGCTGGGTTTAACAGTGCAGAGGTAATTTCTTTCTAATCCAGTTCAACATAAATAAGTTTCAATATTAATTTGCACATTGCTCACAGCTTTATATTATGCCTCCAGCCAGCTTATAGTTTAGAAGTCATTATTGACTTATTAGTACCACTGATTTTTCAAATGGCATTTAATCAGATTATTCGATTAAAGATACGGAGAGCACTGCTGAGGCAGAATATTGCTTTCATTTTAACATGCAGTACCTGGCCATGAAACGAAGAAGTTTTCTCTTCATTTCAGTGTCAATGCTCCTCTGCAATTGCCTCAGCTATGTCAGAGCTGTGAGACGAGCACTGCTGCTGGCTGAATAATCACACCTTCTGATCTATTATTCCACTTCACCTAGACTTTTATTTCACATAGTGCCTACACCTAAATAAAGCAGGTACACTTAAAAAGAAACAATCTGTATAGCCAAAACACAGTACTTTGTACTTGTGGTTGGCTCTTGCACCTATAGGAAGAGATCGCTGAGCAGCAGTAGAGCTGACCGGTCATCCTTCTTTGTACAGATACTCAAACGGTCATCAATTCTGAGGTTATAGTCTGGCAGCTTTTCAGCATTCCTGCATGTCCTATAAATACGTGCACATGTGCCTGTTCCTCTCTTTCCACTGATTCCTATTTTCCCCTGCACTCTCTATTTCATGAGCATATCCCTGTGGCCACACAGACGTCCCAGCAATGGGTGTGTGACTAAATGGCATAAATCGCACATTGTATTCTGAAACAGAAAAGAGAAGTTCTTTGGCAGAACTGCAACATTTTCAATGTTCCATATCTGTTACTGTTTTCCCAAGATATGATTTTGTTTTTCAGGTTCAAACAGTGATCTGAAAACTGGTGTGCATAAAAAACTGTTCGAATATGTTGAAACTTAAGTTTCAAAAGGGAGAATTTTTATTTTGAAAGTGTGCTTGTATTAAAGTCAAAGTCGACTTCATTGTCAATTCTGCTATGTGCAGGATATAGACAGGATTGAAATGCTGTTTCTCTCCTGTCCCCGGTGTGAACATACAAGTATGCAACATATACTCAAGTACCCAAATACTCAAGTACTCAAAACATAGTACAAAGTACAACATTGTATGCAGACAAAAGGTACATGATGTATAGGATGAGAATAATTGCTCTATTACATCAGTAATGTTTAGAAAATATAATTGTCTTCATGACTTTGGTTACTTTGGTGCTACCGATGCAGTTTTCCAAACTCTGTACTGTGTGGCCCCAATTACCACTGTTTCTATGATTTACAACATGTCTAGCTGCAGTACAGTTTTGCTTGGCTGTGCACTTTCTTGTGAAGACTGAGTAAAGGAAATCTTTTCACGAAATGGAAAAGGAAAAACAATAGCAGGCTGGTGTGCAGCCTTTGAGCAAAATCCATGATTATGTTGCCCCTCAGAACAGCCTAATTGGTTAAAAAGAAAGAGACAGAAGGCTGAAATAATGGACACAACTGAGGAGGAAGGAGAGAGAGGTCACACGCAGAGCTCCGTTGGGCCAGATGTAACCCGGTGTGATGGTTCAAGGGAGCCTCAAAGGGAGACTGTGAGATAGATGGATGGGGGGTGGGGGTGGAAAGAAACCAAGAACGACCAGAAGGGACGTGATCGAAGACAAGGAAAATCATGGTCACTGGAGGAGGGGGCATGCATGGCCAGAGGGAATATGACCAAGGAAAGACAAGTTGAAAAGACATCATTGTAATGTGTAATAGTGTCACACAGGATATCCTCCAACCGATCGAAATGTAAATAAGATACAATAAACATGCAGGTATTTAGTAAATGGACACCCTGCTGATCTTCTACAAATATTGTACATACAATTGTGATTTCTCAATTTGAGTATCTCATGTACTCTTTGTTTCTCTCTCTTTTCCAGGAGGATTTCCGGAATAAGGTTCAAGATTACATCAAGAACTATGCCAGATGATAGAAGCACCAACATTAGCCTGCAACAATCAACCAAACTACTCTACCTTGCCTCTGCTTATCTTGGCCAACTTCCCGATGTGTGTGAACCAACAGCTGACTCTGTGACACTTCTGACTCCCCTCCTCACACCACGCCCGCCTACGCCCGTCTCCATTCAACCAATTGCAATAATCACCATCTAGCAGGAACAAAAATAAAGAAAAAAAGATGCGTGGCAAAGAAAAGACTTGCATAGAAAGAGTTTAGTGTCACAATGACCACAATAACTTCATTGTGGCAAGATCGCCAGTCGGAAATGAGCCATGGCAACAAATGGGACTTGATGTGAAGATTCACTAGCGCAAAAAAAACCCTTACATGCTATTTTAAAATTTAATGAATCATGAGAAAGTAAATGCTACTATCAGTTCTCTGTTCCAGTGCCTGCCATGTTTGTGTTGCTAAAGAGACAATGCATGCGAGTTCACACACACACACACACACACAGTGAATATATGTACATGCATTTCTTGTCTGTTACATACACACACTCAAGTTTAACAGCCTTTAACCCCTGCCCCACTAGACAGCATGTGAATGACCACATTGTCCCATTAAGTTGTTATTCTTGCATGTACACACACACACGATTCTTTCAGCTCCAGTGGGATAAAGTACTACTACTTAAACCACAGCCAAGTGTATTGTACAATTTTTAGCTAAAAATCATTTTCTGCACCCCTATTTTACTGTTTTTTGTCTTTCCTCCATCCCTCCCTCCGTATTTCTGTTTCACAAACACACAAATACCCATTGAGGTTTGTTCATACTTGCAGTGCAATCATTGACAGTGACATTTTTTTCACATGATAGCTCTGTACCCAAGCACTTTGGGTGTTAACTGACTGGGTTTAAAGTACTGATTTAGATTTAAATGTTTGCTTGGCTATTGGTAGGCAGCCAACGTTGGCAACAGCCGTTTTCTTACCAGTCTAGCACAAACGCTCCAAGTTCACCTTTCATTTGGCAATGGAAATGCTTACTTTTGTTTTGTTCCTATTTCTATCACTTCTTTCCTTCTACCAAAGTTGCTCAGCCAGCCCCGACCCAACCTATTGCAAAGTGTCACAGGCTGTCATGTCACTTTGCATTACAGAGGCACTGTAGCATCCAGTGTGTCCTGAAGTAGTAGCTCTGCTCAGAGGGTACATTATAACCTTTTGTCTTGTAAACATAACATTTACTGAAGCTCTTGGCAAGCGACCATCACCACCACCCACTCCTGGCAAGAAACAACATCGCTGGCAGAGAAAACTTAATAACAGCACTTTTAATTTGACATCTATCAGAAATTAACCGTAGTAGAACTGTAGCTCTGTTCGTGTAGAGTCCCCCATGTTTCATGGAGACAATTTAATTCTACATGAGAACATGAACTAAAAGCAGCTATAATCACTACTTTTACAACAATAATGTATCACATGAAAATAAGAAAACAGAAGAAAGTATCACCAGTAGAGTCTGCAGCTCTGGGAGCTTTTTATCGAATGTCACTTTCACCCCTCTCATTGGATTAGTGTCGACCTTTTACCTTCAGTCTGGTCTTCAACTGAAGCAAGCATTAAACATGTTTGGTCTTCAGGATTGTCTCAGATTTACAAGGGGATTATTTGTCCCTCAGTGCCATTTAATCAAGTCAATATTAAGATAAACACCTAACTGAAAGTCAGCACTTTAACCTCATGGTCATTTCAGTGTCATTGTACCGCAGTATGGACCAAAACCATTCACCGTCACCAGACTTTATTACAGCACTGTGTGTGTGTGCGTGTGCATGTTTCACTTGGCCCTGGCTATAGCATCGTGCCTCAGCTTTGAGTTGTACCTGTTATTATCGACTTGTCACTCCATTCAGCTTTTGTCTTCACACGACTGCATGAGGCAAAGTCTATGTAATCTGCCAGGGGTGCGTTTGGATGTCAGAAACTATATGTTAAGGTTTGAATTTTTCTGTTGGAGATGTGTAAAGACTGAACATTTGTGCTTGTTGAGTGTGTATGTGTGAGCGTCAGTATGACGTGTTGAAAAGATGTGACTTGTTAGCATGCTCTGGTTTCCTCTTGCTCCCTCTTTTCTTTCTGTTACTCCGGCCCTTTGTTCAACAGCTCAAAGGATTTTGTTTTCATCATGAAAGTGAACAGATCAACAGACAATGCTGACCTCTGTCAAAATAAAGCACCTGATAGTTCTGTTGTAAGCGGATGTTAACATGGGCGTTCCATGGCGGTTTCCCACATGCTCCTGGTCCGCTCAATCCTCAAAGGCTAATGCTACATGCCTAGTTATTTGAAGCCATCCTGTTTAATTGCAGTGACAGCTAATTGCCTCCAGGGCATGGTAGCCCAACACAATCTTTATCATAGCCTTACTAATACTCTGACTTTAGCTTCCCTTGGACACCTGTCCTTTAGTTTGGCAGTCAGCGATGTTGATATCTTCCCAGGATGCTGCTGGGAAATGTCTCTGCTTGGGCCAACTTCCTCTTTGGTCCAAAGGAGAAGATTTACCACCGGTTCTTCTCCAAACCCTCAACCTTTTCTTTCTCAGATTGTATATCCATTTTTTTAAGATATATTAAAGAGAATATGAATAAAACAATCTGGCTTGTTTTATCATGGGCTTCGTTGTTAATTGTTACAAATGTCAGCATTATAAGAACAAGTGTAAAGGTGTGATTACTTGAGGACTGCATCGAATGATTGTTTTAGTCTGTAATGAATATGCACATTTTTCTTCTTCTCATTTTGTATGTAAATATGTCTTGCAGGGTTTTGTAAGTGTGTGGACAACATGGTTTATTTCATTGATTTAAATCCACCTGGTGCACACATGAACGATCAGTACTCTCACTTACATAACCCTCCAAGAGAAACACTGCAACCCCAAAATGAAGGAGAAAATAAACTCAGAGTTTAACTTAGCTATCTCCGTGATATCTGAGCAAACTACCTCCACTCATTGGGACTTGAGTCATGTGGCTTAAATAGCCAAAACAAATCTAGTAAGTGGACGTTGAGGTAAGATTTTATTTTATTTTGTTTGGTCGAAGTCCTTATTTTTGTTTTCATTAATATTCTTTCAGTAGCTGACTTTTTCTTCATGTTAACATGAATTGCATTTTTTAACTTTGTTGAGATCTCCATTGATAGAAAGTGCACTTGTGTAACCTGTGTGCCATTTATAGCTTCAGTACATGCACTATAGTAAGTCTTCCTCTGCTCTACACCTACACCAGGTGGGGGTTAGTGTGTGTCTGTGCTCACATACTTGCACATGCATGCGCACAATATTTTACTGAAAACTGTCAGCCAGTCCCACATTTTACTTTGCTGAGGAGGACACACACACACACACACACCACACAACACACTGTCATCTGTCAGTCACCCACACAGCTTGTCCTCATGCCAATTTTTGGGGCCGTGTGGATGTGCTGTGTGTTGTGTGTGTGCAGTGACAGCTGACAGCCAGGTAATGAGATGGTTGAATGTAATAAATCTAAATGCATTTCTCCGGATGCCCTGCTCCCGATTCACCAACCTGCTGAGCTTGAATACATTCTGATTTGAGTCGTCCTCAACTTGCCTTGAATAAATTAAATTAATCAAAACACATTTCCACTTCCATTAACAGTCCACAGAGGGAGACGAGAAAGTAATGAGGACCTGCAGAAATTGTGTCCTTAGGAGGTTGTTGCTGACAGCAAACCTGCCAGACATATTAAATAAAGTGATTAATGGGTTCAAATGATGGGCTATTTGTCACACAAATTGGCAGCAGGTAGCATCCAAAGGTCCACACCTGGTTTATACCGAGGCCCAAACAAATAACACCAGTAGATAAAATGGAATAATAATAATACATGCAACATAGGTAAAAAGTAAAAACCTGATCAGTTTAACAGGCAGAGTGTAAACAGGTTCAGGGAATCTTTGCACACATTGTACTTGAGAAGAGAAATCCTTAAAAACAAAGTTCAAGAGTTCAGAAATGCTCAACTGTGACTTAAACTGATTTTTTGATTGTGACAGTCTAACTGAAATAAAAGTGTCATTGTTATTCTGGTACCTGTGCATAAGCTGCACTTCTCCAACTTTTAATGACTTGTTGCTCTGACAACAGCTCCAAATAATGCTTAAGCCGTGCTTGGAGGACTGAAAAATCGCAATTGGAACCACAAAATTAAATCATCTCGCGCATTTATCTGTGCATGAGGAACAGGCACCAAAACATTTACTTTCTTTGTTGTCTTTTTGCTTCTTTGTTTTTTTCACGGCAACAATATTTATTGTCCCCAGAAACACGTCAAGTCAAGACGAGATGATTTAGTTTTTGTCTCAAATCCAAAGAGAAGATATCTCACTCATACTGAGGTTTAATATTTTTAATATTATTTACAGAGATTCAGCACATCAGCACTCGGAAGCAGTGACATGAGAAAATGCTTTTGACCAATCAGAGAATGTCATTTGTGTTAATCACCTCGGAGGGTGATGTACAGTGACAGGTCACCTGAGAGGTCACCCTGTGTGTTTTTCTTTCACCACAGGTTTGTCTCTGCAGGATCATTTTCTATGTGTGCTCACCTCCTCTGATTACATCCTGGTCAGGTTCTATACTTTCCTTTCTTTCCCTTTTTATTTCCATACAGCAGTAAATATCGTAGCATTATTCCTGAGCTCTTTTACTCTCAATTTTATTTTTTCATCCTCACTTACAATGACAGGCTTGCTATGGTTGAATTAAATGAGTTGTGTGTGAATATGTCGACAGCAGATTGATGTCTGTGTTTTGTGAACAGTTATATGTTCAGCGGAGACGGATACTCAGAGATTATCAGTGATGTCATTCAGCCCTGAAGCCAAACAGGAAACCATGTATCTGATGTCAAGCTTCATCTTTGTTCCTTAATTCACTGTGTGTGTCTGTGTGTTCCCTCTGTTGGTCTGTCTGTGCGTTTGTTGTGTTGACCTGGTGGGCGTTCGGTGCCAGCTGCTTACTTCTCGCCTCCTCCTCCGTCTCATCCGCCACGCTGGCTGCTGCCTGCTCCTGCAGCTCTTTACATGCCTGTGGGTTCCGACTAAAATGTTCACAGTGGAGCTGTAGCCAGACGAGCACCCAAGACAGATTCATGGGAAATTTATGGAGTACAAATTGCAGGGGTTATGCCTCAGTTTCCAGCTCAGGATTGATATGTTGAACTGGCTGATAGCGGTTTCAGGATGTGGTTGAGATTGAGGTCCTGCAGGTTAATTTGAAGGACGACTCAGCTCAGTAATGCTTTGGAACATATTATACTGTTCTGAACCTCTGTGAGATCAGTCAAAGGACATTAACACGATAAAAGATTCAGTTGATCTTCAGCATGAATGGTTGGTTGACGATAAAGGACACATCATTTTGTGGAACTATGAATATCCTGTATGTAATGCTGAGTTTGTATATACATATTTATACCAATCTAGCAGATGATACATTACACACACTGACATTGTCAGCTGTGAGACAAAATATACCAGATGATCCCCTCAGATGAGGTGCTGGTCACTGCCGGGCTCCTGTAGTCAGGCTGCTTATCTTCTTGAATCCATCAAGCTCCATGGAGAAGGCACAGTGTGCATGAGCAGTCACAAAGTCAAACGATGCTGAGCATGAATTATCTTGCTGCCAACTGCAGGCGATGCAGCAACACAAAACAAATCCATCTTAAACCTGATGATTCTGCTGCTGTGTCTTTTGAAGCACCTTGAAAAGTCTCTGTTGGTATTTTTAAATGAAGTCACCTGATTAATTCTAGAGATTTAAGGACTAAATTCAGCTGCAAGCTCAAAGCTCACACACACAAAAAGGCAGTGCAACCTTTTTTTTAATGCAGGTAAACCCATTAAAAAAAGGCGATTGACATATTTGACTTCTGATGTCTGTCACATTCAGAGCTGAAGCCGGAGCCGTGTCTACTGAGGAGCCATTTGACCCTGGCGTGAAGGCTGTTATACAGATGTTAATGGGATTTTTTTTTTTTGAATGGAAAAGAGGGCTTTATAAAATGATTAGCAACTGTAACTTGTTTAAAATAAATTACAAAATGTCTTTGTTTTTTTGGACTATAACCTTTCTAAATGAATATACAGATTCAAATTAAAAAGAGAACAAAACCAACGTATGTCAAAAGACTAAGATGTCCTGTATTCTATGCAAAGCGGCACCAAACGTGACCCAAGTTTCAGACTGACGTCGGTTTCCCCTCCAGTGCCCATGGTTTGAATAGCAAATGCTTATGCACCCATCTGAAATCTGTCAGGTTCACTGTTTATATCTTGAGGTAATGAAAAGCAATTATGCTTTCAGATAAAAATAAAAACACTGGTCTAAGGTTGGTGACACAGTGTTTCACTCAGATTTTAAAGCCCCATTATCACGACAGAAACATGTGCTTAGCACTCTGCAGAGAAACATTCTCTCTCACTTCCTGGCAGATCTGCCCTGATGATAGCAACCCACCACACACATGTGGCTTCTAAAAGAAATGGGAGATGGCACCGTGATTGGTTTATTGCACGTTACTCTACAAAACACACCCACAATTATTTAAGATGATTTAAGTATAGCCCTGAACAATGCACCCACACGTCATTCCTTAAACTAGCATGAATGGATTTGGATACAACTTGAATTCCAGACCATGTGCTTATTTCCTTTTAAATAGAACCATTAACTAAATCAAAATCATCCACCTGCGTTAAACTGTTGAGTTCAATACATTCTGACAGTGTTTACATTGAGACAATAAGAGACACAGTTTTTGTCTGATGAGTTTTGTGTATTTTGTTTATATTTTACTAGTTTTGTGCATGTTCAGGTGTGTCTCATTCGAATGCGATGAATGAGCAGATGTATAGAGGCCCACGTGTGTCCATGTATGCTCCACAGAGTGTGTCTAAGAGTAAGTGCCTCTCTATTTCCTTTGTTCCGCTTCAAAAGCTGCCCACACACTCATTCCAGCCGTGGGAGGCACTTCATTGTGCTGTGAGATTAGCTTGGCAGGCAGCAAACAGTAATACATTTAGTCATGCCAACTTAAACAGAGGCAGAAACAATGACTACATCACTGTAATTAAATAAAGCTCCATCCCCAGTGTTTACTGCCCTGTTGGGTCAAAACGATGTCAAACAAACATGTATTTTGTGAAATTATCGCCTTTTTTTTTTTCCAATAGACGAGAGCCCTGAGCGTTCACACGACAAGTCACAAAACGAATGTAGCCATGTGGCAGATTTTCATACGAATGCAAATCAACAAAGCGTCACTTTGTGAGAGAAGATTAAATCATCAAAAGAGCCAATGCATACAGTATATACACAGATGGAGGAAATGGACAACAATCTAAAGCTGCAGGTCTGATTTTAAAAAATGTTTTTTTTATGTGTAATGTGAAGCATTATGCAGGTATCACATAGTATGAGGCACGCCCACAACACTTAAACATATAGGTGCCAAACTGCATCGCACACATCCTGAAGCATCACAGAGAACGACAACTCATCACCTGGTGTTGGTTGTCATGGTGTGACTTTATAAGCCAAATCAAACTGGAATTTTAATTATTAGATTCCACATAGTCTTTGGGATAGTTGATACAGTAAAAGGAACATTAGGTCACTCAATAACCCAATGTGTGCAGAATTCTGTCCTCTACAACTACAATTTAACACACATTTCATATCATGAATGGA